CGGCGGGCTGGCATGCGTAACACGTGGCCGAGCCATCGGAGCCTGATGCGTGAAATAACGGTGCTGAGCGGTTCAGTTCCTTTTTCTGTGCCATAAACAAGGCGTCGAACACGCTCGTTGCTCACGCGGTGTTCCCACCAGATGTGAGCTAAATTGCGAAGGCACCGGTGGTCGAACGTAACTAGCCTCTTCAGGTCCGCTGCTTTAAGGGGCCAGGTTTCACAACCGTACAGTAGGGTCGACCGTACTGCTGCATTGTACACTCTACCCTTCAGGGTGAGAGTGATGTCGCGCCGGCGCCATAAGTGGCGAAGGTTAGCAAAAGCGCCCCGAGCTTTTGCTATACGATTCGTGATTTCATCTTCAATCCCACGGGCGCTGATACAACTTCCCAGGTAGTTGAATTTTTGAACGACTTCTAGCTGATCCCCACCAAGGGTCAGCGTAGGAGGCGGTCCAGACCAATCTTGGAGAAACGCTTTGCCCATCGAGGGTGCGAAGCAAAGCAAGAAGTGACGGACAGCTAGTGCTAATCTGTCCAGTGCCGCTTGACACGTTTGTGAGCTGTCACAGATCAGGGCAATATCATCAGCATACTCTAAATCAAGAAGTCGTTCTCCTGGGAGTAGCTCCACACCTTCTAAGTCGTGTCCTGTGAACGCGATTTCCGTGACTTCGTCAACAGCGAAGTTGAAGAGGAAAGGTGATAGCGGGCATCCTTGTCTCACGCCGCTGGAGATATTAAAGGGCGACGACAACTTGCCGTAAGCCCTCACTCTGCCCGAGCTACGCGCATATAATGCTCGGATAATATTTACATATTTCTCAGGTACACCTTTCCTGAGTAGATAGTCCCAAAGTGCACGTCTATCCACCGAATCGAATGCACCTTTGATATCGAGGAACACGACAACGGTGGGCCGCCAATATATGTGACGGTGCTCCAACAACTGACGCAAAGTGAAGATGTGGTCAGTGCAGCCACGACCTCGACGAAATCCGGGTTGCTCTTCGCGAATCTGGCTTTCACGAGTGTCAGTCAGTCTGTGAAGGATGATAGAGGCAAGCAATTTGGAGGCGATGGAGATCAGACTGATTCCTCTATGGCTGTCGCATTCCGATCGTGAGCCTCCTTTGAAAATTGGGACTATGATGGAGCGGCTCCAATCGGTTGGGACAGTTTCCTGCTCCCACAGTCTCACTAGTAACTCGTGTAAATCATCCGCAAGAGCAGGTCCCCCGAATTTGAAGAGGGCTGGAGGAAGGTCATCAGGTCCCGCGGCTTTATTTAACTTCAACAGTTTGATCTCACGTTCGACTTCTGAGCGAGAGGGTGGATCCAAAGGAACAGCCCAGGGAGCGGGGCGATCACTGGTCGGCGAGAAATCTAACAATTCCGACCGATTAAATTGCCTTTCAAAGTGCTCAGCCCAACGTTCCAGGCGTTTTGATAAGTTGTGGATAGGCTGTCCACTCTCGTCACGTATAGTTTCACTAACACCAGGTCTCCTGCTGCCCGTTTCCCGTATCAGACGGAATAACTCACGATGGTTACCAAGGGCAGCGGCCATTTCCATCTCTGTTGCACGATGAGACCACCAGGATTCGCGGTCTCTCTTCAGGCTAGCACGGAGTTTTGTCCGGAGCTCTTTGCGAGTTTCATTGTGTTCGCTTCCAGCCGGAATATGCCGGCGAGCATCGATAAGTTCCAGAGACTGTGAAGAGACCCAATGTTCATGTTGGCGATTAGACACCACATGAGGATTTTCCTGCTGCTAGTAAGGCCTGTTGCATATGAGACCAGTGAGCTTCAGTTGCATCCAGTGAGCGTTTATCCAACTCGGATGACAGCGTAATTTGATAGGCGTTCAGAACAGCTGGCTTCACCAGTCTGCCGGTGTCAATGCGCTCACAACATCGTCGTGGGCGTCAGCCAAAGCGCATCCGCAGGTTAGCACATACAAGTGCATGGTCGGTGTCCACACCTGTGCTCCAAATCGAGCGACAGTTCTGGATGCAGCCTCTCCATCGGTAACTGATAGCAATGTGATCGATTTGCTTCCGAGGTTGGTTCGAGGCTGGTGGGCGCCAAGTCACCCTCCGGCGGGTACTGTGTCGGAAATTAGTGCTCGCAAGAAATAAGCGAGCATCCTCACACAAATGAAGTAACCGCTCACCGTTATCATTACGGGAGCCTACACCATGTTGGCCGCCCAGATGCAGCTCATCAGTGGATAATTTTCCAACTTGAGCGTTCAGATCCCCGGCCAGCACTACAGTGTCCGAGCTTCTTCAGTGGCTAAGGAGCTCGTTCAGTTGACGATAGAAGTCGTCTTTTACCGAGTCATCGCTACAGTTTGTCGGTGCATAGGCAGCGATAACGAATAGACACCTGTTAGTCCCACGCGACTTCGAAGTTTTGAACGAGCCAGCCAATCGGACCGCGTACATCCGGCTACTGATTAGAATCCAATCAACCAGAGTAGCTTCAGCCCGGGGACTCAGGGCAATACCAACACCGGCTTGGCCGGTGCTCGAAGCTGCATCGTCACCGGATAGGCGCAATGAGAAAGTGCTGCTAGTGTCACCTGAAGGGGATCGCAGAGTGAGCACAGAGCTCGAGTCTTGCAGGCGGGTCTCCGATAAGCAGCAGATATCGATCGAGAGGGTCTCTAATGTTCGGGCAAGTGCTGCCTGTTGACCGATCTGAATCAATGTGCGAACATTGAGGCATGCCAGTCTGAAGGAGGATCGAGGGCTCTAAATGGAAGCCGATGAACTGGAATGGGCCGCTTGCTTGGACATGGGCCTGTTGATAGTGCAGGAATGACGCTCTGCGTTCGCCTGTGAGTTGAAACTAAAAGACAAGCGACTATTGAAGCAAGGTGGGGGAAGGCCGAGAATTGGGGGGTTGAAAACAGGGGGATAAAAGTGAAGCTGGAACGGGACGATAAGGGTGAAAAAGCGCAGGAAGGGGAATAAGAAGATGGGAAGGCTTGAGCAGTAGCATCCAAACCCCTATCCACCCTGCTCGATACAGCAGATAGGGCACCGTTGATTATCCTCTGCGGTGGCCAGAGCATCAGAAATTTGTTTGAAGTAAGATTCATAGTATTGCGTGGGCAGGATACTGTCAGGTTGCCCAGGCCTAGACAGGAGAACGATTAGGGTTCTCAACCAAAGCCTTTGGTTCAAAAACCTGTCCGCAAGGCAGCGGGTTTGGCACTGGACTACAAGGAGTCCGTTTTAAGGAATAAGGAGCCACCCTCATTCCAACCCATAATCTGGAGGACCAGGAGGCTGAGTTTGTCTGGCCTCTAACCATTGACCAATCTGGTATGAGTGACTCTGAAGGTGCCAGAAATGCACCACCCAGTATAGCTCAATGGATCACTGAGGCACACAAACCATCGCACCACGGTAAGGTCCAGCCTCATTGCGATGGCACTGTATTAGACACAGTGCTGTTGCTCAGCTGCGAAACGGCAGTTGCGCCGGTGCCGACGAGATCCCGCCTACAGTATTGAAACACGGCTGACCGGCATTGGTGACTGCCCTGCGCCAGTTCGTGCAACGCGTGTTGATTGAAGAGGGGGGTGCCTACTGAGCTAAAGGATGCTTTTGTGCTGCCCCTGTGTCACGGCAAAGGGAACAAGCAGTGTTGCTCTAATTATCGTGGCACCAACTTGCTGAACTGTGTGGTCAAGGTGATTGCCCGAATCCTGCACGCCGCAATCCAGTCACACAACATGTAGTCCAAAGTTAATGCTTGATTGGTAGATCATTTTGGAGCACCTGTTGTGTGAATACGACCCACAACCTCATTTTGGGCTTTGGCAGAGATTGCGCTTCGCAGTCCAATCACACACCGAGTGCTTCAAAATGACATTTCTATTCAGCCATTAACCGTTGTTAGAAGTGTTGTCCGTTGCGGCTCGCCGGTCTCTGGGGTAGAGCTTTCGACTAACGTCCAAATGGCGACGTCTTCAGTGTCTGCTATCTCTAGCTGATGCAATTAAGTATATTAGAAACCCGTTGTGCAGTGCAATGTTTTCAGGCGGACAACACCCGTTAGCCATCTGCTTTAATTACGATCCCAGTGATTAACTACGGTTCACTTCCATGTGAATCGTGACTTAGATTGAGGTTGCACATCACAATCCATTCACATAACATGTACTACAGAATGACCCACCAACCACTCATTAACCGTTGTGCTAAGCGTTGCCTGTCGTGACCCGGTCGCTAAAATGGTAGAGGTCCCAACTAACGGGCCAGTGGTCGTTGGTTCGAGGCTTGCTATCTCTACCTGATGAGCCCAACTAGATCGAAACGTGTCATGGAGTCCATTATTTCCGGGTTCGCAACAACTGATTTCCATCGGTTTGAGCTACGTCCGAGTGATGGAATGGGCGATATTCGCTTCGATGCGAATCGCGGTCCACATGTAGGTTGTGTGTCGCAATCCATTCACATGACAACTGTTTGAAAATGACCCACCAATATTGGCGAATGTCACGCTTACCAATGACGAGAGGTCACCTCATTTTCCCTTCAGTTTAATCTAGCTGGTGAACAAACCCCCACCTTTGATCGCATTCATTAAAACCGTTACCTCAGTCTATTTGTTATTAGCTTGGTTTGGAGTGCACCAAACAGCTACCTAGTTCCCAGAATACGCTTTCGGCTGAATCCGCAGGAAAGCGTGTTACCTTCGCTTTCCTATGAGAATTCCAACCTAACTGTGTCTCGATTCCTTTCAGTTTACATGGCCGTTGTTCACAACATACTTTCAGAAAAGGTTATGCGACCAACCCATCCTGACTTCGGATTTCAGGCGTGCTGGGGCCTTTATCGATCCTGACCCATTAGCGAGCATTCTATCATCATAAGTGCAACGATCGATGCATTCCTCCTTGTCCACAGTTTAATGCACCCATTTTCTTTATGACATCATTCCAACTGTCAACACATGATATTTCTGTCTTTTCATCCCCCAGCACCATATGGAGTGCCTTCCGTAACCGGTTGAACAATCTTGGTGATCTGTTCTCTATCCGCTCGGATGACGCAGTAGAGCCAAATTTTCGCAAATTCCAGATGGCATGGGACATGTATAGTGGGAGAGCGAATTTAAAACGACCTCACGATGGGCACCAAGTTTCATGTGAATCGAGGTAATTGTGATGTCCATACCACTTCTCGACATTCAGCGAACTTCATAACGAATCTCTCTCTCTCTCTCTGTAATAACACACTTTCTACTGGTAATCAAGAGTTGCTGATCCCATTCGCTTGTAGGCATCTGCACGCTTTACGTATCTAACGTTACTTCGCGCATCTTTATTTTGAAAATGTAGCTTTTTGTTTATCGAATCTGCCGTCACTTAACGCGGCGTTGCTAGATGGAACGGGCCAATTTCTGCTTAGTTTCCATTGACTGCTAATGCCTGTCGACAGGGATTGTGAGATTAGCACTGTCTTCCTAGTTGGTGGATCACTATTACGTCACTCTCCTGCATGCTCGCTGTTACAAACCGCACTTTTCACTATGTCACCGATGCTCACTCTTGCGCTCACGAGCCATATCTACAGAGCCGTTTTACAGCTTTTATTCCTTTCAGAGGGATTTGAGTACAATCGGTTGGTGTATTTTAGGCAGCATTGCGTCTTCGACCTGAGTTTTCACTAAGACAGCTACATCAGTGCACAATTGGTGGGGCATTTCATAGCAAACATTTGCGACAATATGGAAAACAAAACAACAGCCACAATTTGAACTGTCATCTTATATGGTGAGGTCAGAGTAGGTCTTACTGTATATCGCGTTATTTATTATGGCTTTGTCAACCTTTATCGTGATGTCGTTCCTCCGATCCGCGGGTTGACGCTTGTCCAAACAACCGGAATGAAGTTACCGTCACCCAATTCTGTCCACTTGGCTACGGACTTTTGACGATTTTCACAGCTCTGGCTTATAACCTCCTTGGTGTAGCTCGCATTTCCCTTTTAACGATTTCGAGATTATCCTACTCTAACTACTGTTACAGCTCTAGAACATGTGCTGCTGCTGCCGAGCGTCTACACAGCGCCCCGTATTCAAATTCGTTCCTCGGCAGTTGCGAAATACGCATTTGCATTCTAACACTTGGGTTCGTAGCCCTCTCGCTTTTTGACCAATATATACCTTTACACGCCGTCTTTACAACCGATTTCGTACACGGAGAAGGGGATCTCTCAAAGGCGTTGTACGTATAGTTTGGCCCTACTAGAAACACATCATTATGCTCCCGCTGTTCGGTGCCCTCCAAGTTGCTTACCGATTCCATTTTTGAATAGAATTTCTGTCATCCTTATTTACTGCGTCTGTCATGTCTCACCTGTCTATATAGTGTTTTTGTAACAGTTATTTTATTGAACGCTGCGAATAACATCTGTTGTACTTTGCACATCGGATTTGTCCCTAGGATCCTTTTTCCCTTTCCATAGTGCACAAGGTCTGTGCGCAGTGATGAGGTTAATCCAGGGTGGACGGGCTTTGGGTAACCGGAAGGTATCGTCTGCATAACGCCAAGAAACCTTCGGTGAGCTATTTGTGTTTGAACATGCCTCGAATTCCTCCACTTACGGGCTTTCCACTACAATGTGGACTGACGATCCCATAGCCATAGCTTATTCTTGGGTGTACAACTTAAACTTGAAAACCAATTAGGCACGTTAAGGCGCAGTGTCATACCCCTCACTACTGGATCGACTGTAGGCTTTGTTCTCTCACCCAGAACAGAGTGCTTTGCCATTCCCATGACTTCTCTTGTATATATTAGTTGGAACTTTAGTCTCGTTAGACCATGAGCATGCTCGTTAGGAAGCCCTGCTATCTGTCGCACAAACTCCTAAGGTATTTTTACCAACTTACTCTTTCCTCATATCAATGGCTCCAATATTTCAGTTAAATATTTTGCGAGTTAATGGGTCGGGAAGCTTATGCCTTCGACTATAGATCCTATGGGAAGGTAGAGCGTATGTGCTTTTTGTAGCGCATAATCGCTTAGAGGGAGCACGGTTTGTTTTCGTGTTGATGACACCATCTTCCTACATCATAGTGGTCCTCCACACTTCTCAACTATTTATCAATCTCTTTTTACTCAGCGCATTTCTCTTGTTACGATTTTCTTCACCACGACATATACGCCCTTCCTCCAAATGCTGCTTCATTTGAATTATTCAGCCCCGCTATTGTTTTTCTTTTATCTCTCTTTGTGATTACGATTCTACCATCTTCCTTCTAAGCTTTCAAGGCGATACTTTCGGCAAGCGTTAGGTATGGTCCCTCCGATTTGTGCGAAACTAACTTTGCGCGAACATTCTCCGGCTTTACCGCGAGTAACCATGTTATGGCGCTTTGAATGTTACGATTAACCTCAGTGTATAGCATGGATTAGTTAACAAATAGTCTCTAGCTCTTCTTCCGCAATCTGCGCTCTGTCTTACTCAAAATCTTATCTGGCAGTAACCAGCTCACAGTAGTTACCACTAGATCAAGGCCTGACAGTTGGGTCAGTCCCCATGTGATGCGCATACATCACACAGTGGAAATTGCGAATTTGTCCTCGTTTAGCTTTCACCTTTGAAACTCTGTTGAAAAGTCAGTCATAGCTTAAATTCATCGAGGCGGATCGCTTGGACGTCTGGTAGTCGAGTAAATTCACACAAACTAGTCATGTGATGCAACAAACGCTATCCTTGCGCAAATGTATGGTTTTTCGGGAGTCCTAACGACAAATGGGTGACGATAATGTCATTCGTCACACATTGCCAGTAGAAAACAAAATTGCTTTTCCAGTTCGCTTCATGGTCCTTCAACCGAATGGATTAACTTAACGGTTTTCTAACCCAGGATAGACTTCATAATCGTTGCGGCGACGCTGATACCTCCCCATACCAACAATACTTCGCGGGCAGCGATGACCTAGTACTTGAAAGTGCCTCAGATCCGCAGACTGAAGAGGCCAAGTCTCACTCCCATAGAGTACGACGGCTTTTACTGTGGCCTTGTAAACACTGTTTTTTAGACCGAGGGAAATCTCTTTTGCTACCCCACCGATGCCACAAACTCAAGAAGGCAGTTCTAGCTTTTGAACTACGTGAACTAACTGCATTGGTTATGCCCACATCGTTGCTGATGCGACTGCTAATATAAGGGGATTGATCAACCACCTCAGATTCCTCGCTATCAAGGTGAGGAGGTCATCAACTGGCTAGTGGTCTTGTGACAACACTGCACTGAAGGTGCGAAGCGCATGTCAAAACATGTGAACACTTTCGAGAGGTTATCCAGTATTGATTGGGTCACCTCATCATCGTTATACAGCAAGACAATATCGTCCGCATAATCAAGACCAACTAGCTTTTCACTAGGTGTCACCTCAATGCCTGCATCTTGAGCTTTCTCATGGAACACTCCGCGTTGGAGTCCACGATGAAATTGAGCGAAAATGGGGGAATTTGACATACGCCATTTGTTATTGGAAGGACATCCGACAATTCACCATAAACCTTTACGCGGCCTATGGTGTTCGAGTACTGGGCACGTAGTATGTTCACAAATTTCATGGGAACACCTATCGGCGCAAGTATTTCCAAGAAATTGGATTGTGTGCATATATTTGGAGCCGATCGTTTCGGTCTCACTGAATAGCTCCCCCGTTGACTGATTAATTCTTAAGGTTGCATTTTATACTCCAGTTCTTTGGTTATGATTGATTCCTACATTTTTTGATCTTGTTTTCTTTCTTTTTATCATTGCCTTCATCATTTTCGCCATAGTCATCATCTCAATCAGTTCAGTGCTCGTGTTTCGTCAACACAACACTTGGTTATGATAACAATATTGATGGGGCATATGAGGACGGGTAAACGGGTGTCTGAACTGGAACATAATTACCCCAGTTAATCACTTGAAATCAATGTCATAACCTTACCAGCACCTGCGGGCTCCTGTGATTTTACCATCATGTGCTGTTAAGACGGTATTGCCGAAACTGTTCTTTTGCGGCTTCCACCGCTCTGCACCTCACAAATACAGCACCATGCAGACTTTAATTAGGTACTCGGCCTTAGAGAATACGCCATCGCTGTCCGTCAAATACTTAGGGGGGTGTGGAGCAGAGGATTGAAGATAGAACGACGTAACAACCTCACTGTGGCTTTCAGCGTTTCCTTTTCCCACTGTCCGCTTTCTTTTAAAGCTGCCTGTTACTATAGTTGAGATGCTTTGGAAGTCTCATTACTGTCATCATTTATTAAGCCTCTTGGGCAAGTGACTGAACTGACCAACTGTAGTTCTCCGTATTTGAGACCCGAAAGTCTCTCAAGGTGTGGAGGAAGTTGTGCCTGTTTGTTTTCAGGGTACACTGCGCTTGGTAGTGAATTGAGCCATTCCAGTGGACTTTTCGAGAATGTTCTGTGTTTCCCTCTCTCAATTTGGTAGTAACAAGATCATGTCCGTATAGTGAAGACGTTCCAACTTTCTAGATGAGATCGCATTGAAGACATAGTCGAATATGGAACATGTATGTTAGCATTACATGATACGAAGGGATTCGCTCGTACCGTTTTACTCACAGTAGGCACTTTGGCATAATGGTGCATTCGTTTATGCTCATGAGGACATCTTCCTGTCAAACGGATTAAGTGTGACAGCGAGCTCCCGGGACCCGGGAACTTGTCCGTAGCCAATCGACGGGACATCTGTGACTTCTCTCGCACTCGCTAATACTTGGTATGTGCAATTCCCTATTAGTCGTAGGCGTTTATCTGTTAACCGTATTCATCAAACCATTGGTTGTTCTGCTGTATTGCTCGATATGTAGTCGTTCGTCCAACTTTACTGTGTGGTTGCCTCTACTTGGTCCATCAACTCGACAGATGTACAGAGGCTAGCTGCGTTCGAACATCGCTGCCTTCGCAGCTTGGATCATATCTGATGGGAACATAAACTGAGCAATGAGTGTGTTCGTCGTCGCGTATTTGCTGCAGGAAGAGCCAGTGAACCGCTCAGCACTGTTATATCACACACCAGGCAACGTGTTGCGCATGCCAGCACACCGACTCCCTCATCGTTAGTTGTTTGCGCGCCCGGGGTGTTGATGGAACGAGAGGGGAGGCCAAGCAATTATTTGATCAGTAGGAATGAAGGTCCTCACTTCGAATTCGGCATGGGTTGGTGTCTCCCGACTATCGGGTTGAGGTCCGACGGACAAGGAACGCGTCTGGTTAGATAGACTTGTTGACATTACGAAGAACCGAGTTCATTGGCGTTTGTGTTGTGAGTTTCTTTGTCCCTCCCCTCCCATTTCGCTTCCCCCCTCCAACAACCATCTCATACCCAATGCCTATTATGATATTTAGCATTATGCTACTTTTTTAGTTTGTAGTCCGTAATGTCTAATCTCTTTTTTCTATTACAGCCCGTTAGCTGTGGTGTGTTTCTTACCCTCGGCTAACGTGTATTAATGATGTTGCCCATTGGATTTCTTATAACTTTTTGTTTGTTATATTTTTTTAATTTTCTCTGCGTTATTACTTTCGGCTCCTGCATTCGTATATACGAGAAACGGGCCTTCTTAGGTTAGATATTACGCTGCATCTTAAATTGCAGGTACTGTCTTGACCAACTCAACTTTCGGTGAACCTCTTGATGGACCCATCTGCTCTTCGGCATATCAACGCGACCGGATATGAGACGCGATTGCTTTTCCCTGTTTCTCTGGTTACTTTCAGATTCGTATGCGTGTTATTCAGGCGATCGGCTAAACGCCCGATGTGCTCTTCTGATGAGCTAAACACTAAAATGTCATCCACATACCGCTTATAGTAGGAAGGAAGCGATATTTCTACATTTAACTTGGTTTCAATCATCGACATGAAGAAATCGGCTAGCACTGGGCCCAACGAACTACCCATTGCCACCCCATCTATCTCACGATAATGAATGCTTTGCAATTGGAAACCGATGTTCTCAGTGCACAGTACAAAGCTGTCCTTCAATAATTCGACTGTTATTGGAAGAGTTAACTCGGATCGCTCTGCCAAATCACACACATAATAACTTGTTTAGTTTAGCGGCACGTTGGTGAAATGTGACTGCACATCCAATGAAGCCATGAATTTATCAGATGTGTTAAATTCATTTAAAGCCTCGGTGAGTTCGAAAGAGTCCTTCAGACGATGTGGCATAGTCGGTCGCAAGAAATTCCACCAGCCAACGAACCAGCTTATGTTGTACCGAGTTTGCCATTGACTAGTTTGGTCTAAGCGGGATGCCACATTTATGGGTCTTCGGCAACCCGGATAGTCAAGGCATGTTGGACCTACCCGGTTTTAGGCTGTTATGTACATTTTCATCAATCACACGGTGTAAAAGAAGCAACTTTAGGTGGTCCGTGATTCGTCTTTACACTTCACTAACATCCTTTATTTTTGTAAGGTGTTTAAATTTGCTGGCATCATTCAGTAAATTTTGAATTTTGTATATATTTTTCCTTGCGCATAATGACGGCTCCTGAGCCTTTGCCTGGCTTAAGTACAATCACTCCATTCGTCCTCAGCTTTCGTAGTGCACGAAGGTGACGGCTTGTAAGCAAACACTTCTCACGCACTGACGTTATTGTGACCTCGGGGGCAATATCAGTTAATTTGTTTCTAAACCAGTTTGACATATCTGGACTAGACGTCTGTAATCCTACTAACTGGTCATAAAAGTTTTCAACCTGTGTCTCTGAACAAGCGGTTTAGCTTACCAGGTGGAACTTTGTTATCCATTCCGAGCGATAATGCCTCCAGTTATAAGGCATCAAGCGGTACATTTGACAGGTTCCAAACGTACCTGTTGGGGTCACGATAAGCAGGCTCCTCCCGGTTGTCAGCTAATGAGTTCTGCCACCGGACGTTGCATTTCACTTTTGTACGATCAATAGTAAATTTACAACACAACGATAAGCCACGCACGATTGGCATTAAGCGAGAATGTGTCACGACTGGCACAGTGAGTCGAGTCTGAGCAGTCTCTAACTGAGCGGAGGCAATGCGTCGGGGATCACCATTGGATGGCTTTAGCTGATTTTTACGCAAAAGCTTTCAAATCCAGTGTGGATATTGAGATAATATGATACGGTTTTAGAGAACAGATATTTCCGAACGACTGCACTCAAGTTTGCACTTCAGACTAACAATAAGGCAAAGCCTGCCTGATGAAATCAACGCGAATTCGTCTCTTGAGAAATTGAAACGATTAGATCCCTTTAGTAATTTAAAATAAAGCCGTTAGAAGACGAACGCTGGCACTGAAGAGACAATACGAAATTTTGACATTTGCCAATGTCCGTCTTCTTACGGCTTTATATAAGAAGTGCTTAATCTCAGCGCATCAGGCGTACTGCGCTCGTGTTTCTGTTTTGTGTTCATTGAGAAAATTCACGGCGACGATCGTATGAATTTTGACGCATAGCATGTAACTTTCCGTCCCACCCAGTTAGCCTGGCTCCCTCCCAGATTCATGATGTTATCCGCCCAGTCCACTTCTTCATTTTCGGAGGCCGAAGAGGCCAACATTGCAATTGTTTCACCCGCTACTCATTTTTTACCTGAACATTGAATTGTCTGAAGTACAAGTTCCATAGCTCCATCTCAGCTGCGATTGATCTGTCATATCAGTGGTGAACAACTCGATGACATTAATAGCTCTTATTGGATCTAAAAATAACCGGTGCCATCTCATGGCATCGTCCATCGTCCACCAGCTCCCTTTACTCCGTTCCAATTTTTAATTGCTTGAGTATTGAATTCAACCTCATCACAAACTCCTGTGTCAGTCACACATTCGTTAAGAAGATAAAACGTAAAACATCGGCATTCTCAGTGTGCAGATGGGTCACTTTACTCGACCTGTCCTCCACTGCTTCAAGAGGTTAGCAAGCCTTGCGAGTGAAACAGTTTTAGCCCACTCACTTTCGGTCGTCCGTCTGCTTCGGAGTTCGTTTAGGTGCTTTGGATCACCAGGGAAATCCTATTTGATGGCGACATCTTCGTTATCGCCCGCTCTCCGCACCACATTTCTCGACTAGAGTTGCGGATCGTTGCACTTCCTCGAAGCAATTGTGGATGTTCGTGACATTCCGAAGACACATTAAGCTTTCCAACACTCAAAGTGGAAACCATCCGCAGCATTTATGACCCGCTACTACGTGTCACCATAGGTTCACTGGTCTCGGGCACTTTCAAGCTTGTTTACAAATGCAATTTAGTGAGAATCAACTAAAGTTGCTTGTTTGTCGCTATTATTAAACGGATAGGTCGCGAACTTACTATTCGCACATCTGCACCACCGTTCGAGCGGTCATAATCGTTTCAGCGTTTCCATGTTGAGATTCACGGTGGCTAGCCAAATCGGTCTTGTTTGGCTGTCATCGGCAAACCAAGCGTATGTGGATCCACTTTTCTCTCAGCAATATTCAGTGTGGATCAAATCAGTTGTTTCACGTACCCAGTGTTGACGAGCATTTTAGCGTTGCGCCCACACTTTCAGCAGTAAGTGGTTAGGCATGAGACATCTAGCACAAAGTAGATGCAGTGTACTTCTGAATATGCCACTGTCCGAGTCGTTTCGTTGATAACAGCAGTACAAATGGATGGAATTCGATTATCGGGACAGCGAATTTCTTGAAAACATTGAGGTGACTTTTCACAATGAGCAGCTGAGCCGAAGTGAATCCACGCGACCAGACCTTTTTACCGCCAAATTTTTTAGAGATTACCTTCGCCTCAATCTACAATCGCTATAGCGAGTAACTTGTCATGATTTGTGTCGCTATGGGAAAACGGATGGTCTTACCGTAGAAGGGCCCTAGCCACCAAGTGGTGAGTGAGCCTTGGCAGACAGAAAATAACGTCAAATTGTCAGCGAATACCAGCTTCATCGGACCATCTAGCATGAAGTGCTAGAGGGCGGATGCCAAATCACCAACTTCACTTCAAAACGAGTTGCCAACGTGTTCAACGGCTGCAGTCTTAAACTCACCATGATATCCATTTATATACATAACATATTGGGGAAACGCGTATGCTAACCAAGAAACAAACAGTCTACGTTTAGATCTTTATACCCGCTATCCAGTTCCAGATAAATGGTAATTTTCGATGGGGCTTGAACCTGTGCTGCATTGTCATGCGCTAGTCCTGCAATTTCGCACGTGCCAGGAATCTTCACTACAATTTCACTAACAGACAGCACGGTGCTCTGTAAAAATTTTCTTGGCCACTTTTCTGTTCAGTTTGTGTCCACTAGATATTCCAGACATCCTGCTTATCCTTTCAACGGCCATTTTTCTAGCATGTGAGATGACGGCGGCTATTGATGCTCCTGCGATAGTTTTTCTTGTGGGATTTTTAAGTGCTCCGAGGTATCGTAAATCCTTTTTCCACCCAATCATGATTCTTTGTACGTCAGACCTTTTACTTTTCCGGAGGATGAAATGCGGCTACTTGGTGACGGGGACTCGACACTGCTTGAGGAGCGCACTGTGGTTGTCTACCCTGCACGCGCCAGTTGCACCTGGGTGCTTATCAAGACACTGTGGACTGCATTCAGTTGTCGCCTCTTATCGTCTTGGACTCTGATCACGGTTGGTACGATACTCAATTATGCATCTCCTGTTTTTCTTGGGTAAGTTATCAAGCTTCTTTTGTTTCTACATTTCACTACACTACTGTTACACCCTGACAGTTTCCGTGTTTTTCCTGTGATTCCATTCACTTGCCCTTCGTTATCTGCACAACGGCGGAAATTTTAAAATATCCCTCCAACCAATTTCTCACGCGGCTGACAGTGCCTGTCCCCATAGACCAACATTCTTTCGTCGTACAGTATTAGATTACTGATGTCACAGCCTCCACCGAACAAGTGCGTCGTTGGTCAGGAAACTGTCCGTTGCAGTCGTCCTGTACACTTTGTGTAGTACGCAAATCATCATCGTCATAAGTATACACCTTAGCAAGTTATTATGCCGCAATAGAAGAAAATGAACACACAACAGAAGCACACCAGCTGAACCACCAGTAATAAGTGGACATCGTTCCGGAGAGTTGGCAGCCGGCTATTGTGCCGTTAAAAATAAGTTAAATGTACACTGTGAACACGTTTGCATAGCTGATCGCAATTCACCCATGTGACCTTATCAACGAATTCCGTTCAGCTTTAACAAACATTTCACCGGTGCTCCAGAGCTTGGTATTGTCCCGTGCCTGGGTATCCTATCCGCGTCAAGAAGAACAAGACACACCGGCTCAGCACACAAGCGTTCTATTCATAAGTTTGAGGTAATGTACAATTAACTGATCGATCGATCGCGTGCACGACCGCACTGAGACAGTCGATTCCCTTCGCCCCAGGTTTCAGCCACTATCAAATTCTTTCCTTTTTTCCTTCTTTTGGTATTGTGGCTTCCGTGTTGCATTCCACTGCGGGAGAGCTTTCGAATCTGGGCTGCGATCTTAGTTGGTTTATTCTGTTGTTACAGCTTCTCATCCGAGTGCGGAGCATGTTCATCACATCGCCTTTTCAGCTGTGTTTAATAGCTTCCCTTCCTTTTCCGACCTTTAACTGCTCTTCTCTTCCGATGCACTTCAGCTCTAGATATCTGTTCAGACCATACTTTGTCTCCAGGCGTTAGAGTATGAAACTGTCTTGATTCATGTTTGTGACGCGTCTTTCGCCTTCGTGAACGCTTTATAAGGGGGTCTTGCAGACGATTAGTCAAAAATTTTTCTGGTTTCGAATGTACGGTGGTTCCAGAATCAGCTTGCCGTTGAACCGGTTTTCCTTGAATCGGCAGTTTTACACTAACCCATCCCTCCCCGTTGTAATTCCACTTGTTATTTAGTGAAATTTCTTGCGCTTCTTGCTGATTTACACTATCAAGTGAGCTAACGTTGGTCCATCGATAGCAACGAGCGAAATGGTTTAACCGGCCTTCACCATAATCACCAAATCTCTCGAGCATTTCTGAAAGATCCGGTTCTTGGTCACGATCGCAGAAATTCTAGGCGTTTAGTATCCTCATCGCATCGTGGCCGAGGGTTTACCTGAACATGACTAACTGCTATGCCATAGGATATTCATTTAACTCGATCAATGTCACGAAGTTCATCCACTTCGTTTTCCATCGGCACCAGTTTTCGGATAGCGGACCCTCCGTTATAAGTAATGGAGTCGGCATCACCAGTCAAAACAAAGCTGCGGATTTCCCATCGGTTTCTTCCTTTCCTCTGTCTCCCTGTATCAAACCTGAATTTGTCACCCGCGTCAAGAGAAAGAAAGCACACCGGCTCAGCGCACAGGCGTTCTATTCACAACTCTGAGGTTATGTACAACTAGATGTGTTTTTAAAACTCACTCGCCCACTTGATCGCTCGCCTGCTCGACAGCACTGAAGCAGATGACTCTATTAGCCCCAGGTTTCATCCACCATCACAGGTATCTGACACAAACTAGCGGGTATCCGTATTACGCAATCGGAGACCGTACCACACATAAACAACATGTACAGACCCTTTGGTCAAACACGACTCATTTCTCCTAGTCTACACATGCTGTGTCCATTATTCTTTGTAACACCGGACGCACTTCGGCATTCACACTTCACATCACGCCTTCTTATCTGCGCAAGTCCACCTGACTAAGTAAGCCAATAGACTACTGGTCCTAGCGATTGTCCGTTGTTTGTGTGACCTATCGGTATATCATCCCAATCAGTCCACATTTCCTCGCTCCTTGAATACGGAATACGTTATTACGGAAACATATGGAATTTTGAATCTGTACTACTCCAAGGAACTGTGATCAAAAGCGGCCAGGGTATACAGTCCGGGTATTTCGCGTTGTCTTCGTGCGACTTACCTCGTAATCTCCGTCTGAAACGGAGGGGTTTTGGTATTGGTCGCTCCCAACTTCACCCCTCCCTCGGTTTCCTCCTATTCTGGGCTCATCTGCTTAAAGTAGCCGGAGCTAAGAGTGAAATTCAGTTGCGGTTCTTGTGATTGGAGTTACTCTCGAGGCAAACAGTTCTAAATAAGGATTGCGTGTCACAATCAAACCACACGACGGATATTCCAAGACTCAACGTAGTCTACTTAGTTGTCTTTATTTCCATACAAATAGATACTGGTAATCTGTTGCCATTCAACCTGGAGGAAGGATGTTTACCATTGTTTCTCGTCAGCTTTGCCGAGTTCAGTCGCCGAAAACCTCTAGCTTCCTTATGAGGAATGTGTTAGGAGCATTAACTAACCACCTGATTCTTATGGGTATCTCCGTAGTTAGTTTAGATTGGCACTGCCGTTTTATCCATCGCGGAACCCGCAAACCATTTCACCATGTTGAATTTGTATGTTTTTCTGATCACCTTTTTCGTTTGTGGGACACCTCTTCTCCATCAGACATTTCTTCCTCGTGTCCTTACAGAGTCACCGCTATTATTCGACGGTATCCCTTTTGGACAGGTGTTCCCAACTTCGTTGTGAATTCATAGGTTACCATGCTATTTGCCACCGCGAACGTTTGAAACGTGACCTTCCATTTTGACAATGGTCTTTTGTGGTCGTCATTGCGATGGGCATTGAATGGGAGGAGAAATGACATTGCGCTGTTGATCAGATGTAGCCGCTTTCATTCCGGGTAGGTGCACCCGGTCTCACTTAACTTGTTGGTACAAAAACCACCCGGAAGATGGCTGGGCACTGTTCGATTCTCCTGGCTGAAGCCTGTCCTGATCGATTGGATCCCGATCAACAACCGAATGTGCGCCGCCAGACAAGCGGGCTCGTTCAAACCTTCAAACTTGAGCAGGGACAAACGGCGCCTGTTTGTCATTGCGGCCTACGCCCCAACAAACGGTAGCAAGGATCCGGCGAAAGATGATTTCTATCACTAACTTACCGATCTACTTCGTTACAGAAGAAGCACGGATACTGTGGTGCTTCCTGGTGACTTAGATGCCAAACTCGCAAAGCTGTCCACTGATGAGCTTCATCTGGGTGGCCATCATAGTGTAGGCTACCTTAATGACAACGGTATGCGGTTGTTACACTCGTGGAAGATGCTCATCTACTTGTCACAGTTACTAACTTTCGGCACAGCACCAGCCTTCAACTCAAATCGATCACATGGCGATTAGCTACTGTTGTAGAGGCTGTGTCCAAAACTGTCGCTCGATTTAGAGCAAGAGCGTGGAGTCCTCACTTGTATGTGCCGACCTATGGGTGCGTTTTGGCGGACGTTCGTATCGATGCTGTGAGCCATAGATACTTGTCAACTGACAAAGCCACATGAATTCGTAACAAAGTACGCCGGCATCCGAGCTGAGTGGACGCTCACTGAGCACGATTGAAGATTACTGCGCGCATGTTCACCATGCGTTACTAGCAGGAGACATGTTTTCATCTGGCAAATCAAATTGCCAACCTGGACATTGTGTCTGTATGCAATCTCTGGATTCTCACTGACACGTTCCAGCTGAGAGTGAACACAGCGAGACTCGCAAATATATCAGGGCCAAACTGCGTGCTAGCCTGAAGTGAGACCGCAAATCCTGATGTTTTCATTTTGCGTCGGAGATGGAAACAGCCGCTGTCCTTGAATATTCCGTCTGATACGGGAAACGATTAGTGCGAGACCTAGTGTTCACCAGACTATATGCGACGAGGGTGGATAGCCCATTCGCAGTTTGTTATAACACTTGGAGCGTTGGGCCGAACACTTTGAAAGCAGTTTAATCAACCGGAGCTTCCATCTTCCTAACCAGGCATTAATCGCCCTACACTTAGAGTCGTCGCTTTGGATCCGCCCTCTCGCTCAAAAGTCTAACCTTAAGTCAGAGTGCGGAAATTTTATAAGGTCACAGGAGCAGACAAACTTCCTCCAGCCCTCTTCAAATTAGGGTGCTCTGCTTTTGTGGATGACTTGCACAACTTACTGGTGTAGTTGAGGACCAGTAAACTGTCCAAACAGACTGAAGCCGCTCATTTCAAAGGGAGCTCATATTTTGAATACGGCAATCGTATAGGGATCAATCTGCTCTCAATTGCCTCTGTTACATGCCCCTATCGTTCTTCATATCCTGACTGTCACCCTTGAAAGCAAGCCGAGTTTTTTCGAGGTGGCTGCTGTGATGATCACAAGTCCACTTGAGGTTAGTTGGAGCACCGCCACATTTATTGGCGACCCATCGTAGTCGTGTTTATCAACGTCAAGTGTGCTTTCGATTCGGTGGATCGATGTGCCTTTTGGGACTGTCTGCTCAGGAAACGTGTTTTTGAATAATACATAAACTATCAGAATGCTTTACGCACGTATTTCTCATAGGGTGAGGACTTTTGGCAAGATGTCGCCGCTCTTTAGATCTCCAAGGTTGTGAGACATGATTGCTCGCTGTCACCTTTCCTCTTCAATTTCTCTATCGACGAAGTCACGGAAACAGCGTTCGCTGGACACGATCTACAAGGTGTGACGACGCTTCCTAGTGAGCGACTTCTTGACTTCGATTATGCTGATGGCATTGCCCTATTCTGTAACAGTTCCCAAACGTGTCAAGAAGTACTGGACGGACTAGCACTGGCTGTCAGTCTTTTCGGGCTATGTTTTGCGCCCTCGAAATCCAGTCATTCTCAGAGATTGCCATAGACCCATCCCTGCGCTGACCCTTGGTGGTGATCAGCTAGAAGTCGTCCAGAAATTCAAGTATGTAGGCAACTATATTAGCGCTCGTGAGATCGAAGATCACCGACCATATAGCCAAAGCTCGAGGCACTTTTGCTAATTTCCGCCACCTATGGCTTGGGCGTAGCATCACTTTCGTCCTGAAGGGCACTGTTTATATTGCAACCGTTTGCTTAGTCCTCTTGTACGGTTGAGAAACTTGGACTATTAACTCGACATCCTTAAAGCGGCTAGCTCTGTTCCACCATCGCTTCTTTCGCAGGTTAGCTCGTGTCTGGTGGGAACACCGCGTGGGCAATGGGCGTTTTCGGCGTCGCGTACATGGTGCAGTATGAGCGAGTGAACCGCTCAGCACTGTTATATCACACACCAGATTCCGAGGGTTGCGCCACGTGTTGCGCATACCCGGACATCTACTTTCGCATCATGCGTTGTTTGTGTGCCCAGTGTTTTTATGAAAGGAGAGGAATGAAGACCCTCACTTCAATGTTGGCGTGAGTTGTCTCTCGGCTGTCGGGCTGGAGTCCGAAGGACGATGAACACGTCTGGTTAGATAGACTTAATGACATTGCGAGGAACCGACCTCATTGGCGTTTGTGTTATCAGTTTCTTTGTTCTTCTCCATCCCGCTTATCTTTCGTCTTCAACCAAGTTTACCTACACCTGATGCGTAATATGATAGCGAGCATCATCTTGATTTTTGGGTTGTTTTATACTGTAAGTTTTTATATGTTTCATCTTGTATTGCGGCACCATAGCCGAGGTGTTTTTCACCTTCGGCCAAAGTGTACTGATGTTGTTGTTGACTGAGATTGGTTTTTGGTAGCTTCTTTGACAAGGTAACCCATATACTCAACATTGGCTTGGTATTCCGCAAATTTCAGCTTTTACCCACAATTTGAAAGCTATGGCCGTTGGTTTGTCACAGTGTGATTAAACTAAACTATTCACCTCTACCGTTTCGCTGCATTCTTCTACTAACTAGTAGTGCATGTGTACTTTTAGTTATCGCTTCCTGGTGCGCGGTTTTCTGTATGTGCCACTGTTAGGCTGGAAACAACTTTGTGTCGACTTTTCTACGTTCGACTGTGTGCGTGCATACTTTTTCCACGTGCATTGGTCACAATCAAACATCCTCCACTTTGTTCAGTGGGCTGCGCGTCCTCGTGTTCCAATGGGCTTTTCTGGGCTTCTGCATTCCTCCCTTCAGTTCGGACTCTTGCCTGCTTCACCAGACGACTTAAGTATTTTTCACTCCACCTGATCCTTTCTTATCATTATCGTTTTAATCTTGGTGTTTTATGCCAATACGACCGCATGGATCTTGGTTGATCGATTAAATCGTACCCAGGACGTGGTGGGTTTTCGCCTGGCAAGCGTTCTCCCTATAAAAAGCCACATATGTCCGTTTAACAACACTGTGACGTGGCGGACGTGACTCGCCACTAAATAAAGTCACTGCCCCTTGCTTCGTCCTGGTGAAGCATTGTATTCCAGCAACGTTACGCTGTAGTTTTGGGAAGCATTGGGCCCCTGTTTGACAAAGGAACAGACGAAAGGCGTATGAACTGAGCAATCAGTCACCGGCTCCCAGTGGGCGCGATTCCCTGAATTCGCTCCGCTGCCTTGCGGACGGGCTATTCAGCCAAAGGCTCGGGGTGGTGTCCCCTAAGTCAACACCCTACTTCGGCTTGGGCAACCGGGTAGTATCTCGCCCTCTGCCGAAATCATGGACATTGTTGTGTTGTCTTTTCCTTTACTATTTCTGTACCTTCGTTTGAATCCCATGGTTTCTGATGGCATTATGTCTATTCGTAGACTTTTGCAAATATCTATCGACACCTTTACTGCCCCAGCTTTCGACCCCACTGGTCACAGTCATACACAAACACACACACACACAAATCAGTATGTTTCCTATGAATCACATTGTTTTGATTGACGCCTAACCTGCTGGTGTTGATTCGTTTTCTTCCACTCAGGTATCTTTTGCGATTCTTATCTTCTCCTGAGATGCCAATCTGGCAAGGATACTTGATCGCCTTTGGGATGTTCACTTTTGGTATAGTTGCTATTATCTGCGATCAGCGTGGTTTCTATGGCTGCTGCACTTTGGGCATTGCAGTTCGATCTGCTCTGACATCTGCAATATACAGAAAAGTAGGTGAACACTGGACACATCTCTGTTGTTCCTTCTGCAAGTTGTGAATATTTGTGCTGGAGGATTCAGGTTATGTTGCCGGTCTGTTTATCCGGACACCGTCTTATTTCAACTCATGTCCTTGCTTCAAATCGTTACTGATTGCATCAGTGTCGTTGATGTGCACTTGTGCATTGAATGCTCACTAATGCGATACCGCTGTCGTCCCACGCACTGCATGTCTATGATGGTTGTCCAGATATTCCTAAAGACACCTACCATGTGCTTATGAGGTTGCTACACATTCCGTCTCGTAGCTTATAGGTGACGAGCTTATCTCGTAATCTTGTGGCGCAGGTTCGAATCCGCGTAGAGATGTGCGTCCTCGCGGTATACTCAGCCCGCGTGCGACTAGTGGTGGTCGCACGGCAGCGAAGCGCCGTTACGGCGTACTGCTGACGCATTATTTTATTTTTACTACACATCCCATTTATTCAATTGGAATCGTGTTCTGATTTTGTCAACGCTGCATAGAAGTATCCTAGTCCATGCGGATAGAGCTCACCGTGATTTTGGCAGAGTAAGCGAGTTGACGGAGTTGATAATCCGAATCCAGAATCATTTGCCACACTGTCCGGTGTTCCGTTTCCACTAACCTTGACACACCTTTCGATTGTACCGGTGGCAAAGTCCAACTATATCTACGAGTCACGGGCTCGAGAATGTGTAGTTGCTGAAAACCTTGTATTATATCTTACTGCGTGTAGCCACTGGCATTCACGTGACAGAGGTGCGTAGCTGCAGGTCTCCCATGAACTGCTCTCTATATATTTATCCATGTGTTTGAACATCTCATCTTGGTAAATGCCAGCGACTCTTCAGGCGCCTCTGCATCAACGATAGGCGCTGGACATGGTTGCTCCATTACCTCAATTTTTTCTTTTATTTCCTGCGTAATTTTGCACGTAGGGTCCTCCTTTGGCAATTCATACTACACGCATTGCGGTACTACCGATGAAATCTGGTTCCTTTACTTTATGCGGATGGCGTCGTCGTATTGTTTGTCATTCCTGAGTTGGCACATTCGTCCCTAACTAAGCTATCTGGAGTCAGCATCAACGTAACAAACTGCTATTAGAAAATCACTAGACATTATTCCTTTTACCCTCGACTAAGAGGAATTGCTGTTCGTTTGTCAAATCGTTTCTCCGCAGTTGCAATGGTGGCGACAGATGTCCGGCTGCTGGTGTTAATTCACTTTCCTTTGAAGTCATAACCGTCTATCCGGATAGACGGCGACGTTTCGCAATGCAGAAAGCGTTCATTTCATTTGTAAGAATGAGACGGTCTCTTAATCTGAATATTTCAAGTGCCTCTATGTCAGCAACAGTCAGGTGTGCACCCGATTGGTACTCATTGATAACCGGGTTAGTTCGTCAGGTCAACGAACAAGATTAAGGTTTTTTCATTTGTATTCGCGAGCCTTCTATCTACACGCCGCTGTTGCAGGAGAACTACCTGTTGTATGAGGCATTACGATGACTTGTATCATAAAAACGCATATGTAACAGTAGTACATTGCGAGAGAAAACGTGGAACGTACAACTGCTCAGAATGTGACAGGAATTAACTTAAAAGTCAGCCAATCGCTCAATCAGCATTGAGCGAAGTCCAACCAGTCAGGATAAGCCCCTGGTAACGAATCACAACGCCACTTCCCTCCTCCGAAATCTGCTTCATGCGGGTTGGTATCAGTCAACTGGCTTTGGTGTCTGTCTGAACCTGTGTAACACTCGGGACTGTGGAGCCGGCCCTGTCTGTTTCACACATGTCTTGACTAGACTGCGAGGCCAGTCCAGTTGCTCTTTAAAACCGACGGGCGTTGACAGTCAAGCCATTTTCCAATAGGTATGTTCCAGGCCCACATGCAAATGTGATTCTCAGCGGTGCAGACAGTTGGGTGACCCTTTACGATACCTGTATTCTTGATCCTAAGGAATGATCCCGACTGTAGTGGAATTGTGGTTTTAGCGTAGGATTGTCCTTATGTTGCTATGTGCTTTGACACTTCAGGATTTACAAAAATGGACACGTGTGCAGCATTAAGTCTGGTGCGTAAGCGTCTTACTAACATCAGTTCGACAGGCGTTTTCCCTGTGGCTCTGTACTCACAGGTTCTGTGTGATTGCAGCGCCGTAAAGACAGCTTCTTACCACTTTACCCCTCCTAATTAGATGACTTGTATTGCCTCTTTGAGAAACCGGTTAAGGCGCTCCACCATGCCACTAGCTGCGAGATTGTAGTGTGCAGTCCGGGAATGTTTCACGTTCTGACATCGGAGGAAGTTTTCGGGATCCCTAACCACTTCCTCTGGTACTCCGAAGCAACTGAACAGATGTGTAAGCCATCGCAGCACTACAGAAGAGGTTACTTAGTCACATATGTAAACCTCAGGCCATCTGCTGTAAAAGAGGGCTGCAACAAGTAGATTTTTCTTATTCACCGGAACCGTGGCGATAGGGTCCATAATATAATTTCCAACTTTGGATCACGGCTTCATCGTGTATGGTATTGGTTGTACGAGAGGCTTGACAAGTGGAGGACTGTTATCCGCTAATCGGCAAGCTTGACAATTTCTCACAAATGCTTCAATACCTGATAACATTCATGGTCACCATAAGTTATGCCGGATTTTATTTTTAGTTCGGACAATATCCGGATGACCTTCTTGGGCACAATTATTTTGTTAACCAGCGATGGTGGAACTACAAATGTCAGGCATCGCATTAGACAAGCATCTGCGACTGAAAAAGTGCCTCTCGGATTGCATAGTACGGAACCAACTCACAGGGTATTTTGTTTTTCTTTGGCTATCCCTCTTGAACAAAACCACGAGCTACTGCAGCATTACATTTCTGGCGTTCTCAATTTGTAGTCCATTGGTTGTCAGGGCAACAAATCCGCTCCCATTGCCGCCTCTCTTAATGCTTTTTTTCCATTTTCTAATTCCAATGGTCAACGGGATAATCCATCCGCGATCTGATTTTGTTATCCTGACGTGTACATGTTTCGGAAATCGTGACTGTGTACTCTGGCCTATTCGCTTCGGGCGGAACCCTTCAGGAGGAAGGTGTTGAGGGCGAAGTGTTCAGCTCCCAAAATGAAATGCTAGCTAAAGGTGCCACTTCTCGCAAGGCCATACGCACAGGCGAAGGTTTCCTTCTCACCGATGGAGTACTAACGTTCCGAGTCTGATGACTTCCGCGGAACATAAGCTATGACATTCCGCCGTTTTGCAACTGTAAAAGAACAGCACCGACACCGATATCGGAGGCATCAGTTGACACAAAAGTTCAGTATGATTCATCAAAGATGCCAGCCAATGGAGCAGAGGAATTTCGTATTTTCAGTTCATCAAAGGCATTTTGTTGATCAGTTCCGTAAACAAACGGTGACTCCTTTTTATCATTTTCCATAGTGAATCTGCTATGGTCTCAAAATCACTAACCTATCTTATGTTGCAGGAGCACATATCCAAAAACGACTTTAGTTCCTTTAAATTACTAGGTATCTGCGCGTCAACTGTGTCTTAGCAGTTGAATCTCAGGGGCGTTGACTACAATTTTTCGCTTTCGAGCGTGGGTCGAATTCACTGAGTCGATGAAGGACTATATGTAAATGCGTATCATGCCCTTCCGGCTTGCGGCCAAAGACAAATATCATCCAAATAGGCAACCTTTCCATCAATACCTGTCAGAGTGTGTCATAAGCTTCTGCCAGGCAGCATGTGCTGAGCACATCCTCCTAAGTAAAACGGTACCGAAACAATCCAGTGGGGTGGTAAGGGTTTGGAGTCATTAGCTATAGGCATGTGGAAAAATTCACTTCTTACATCCAGTATTGAGAAAACTTTTGCACCGGAAAGACGAACTGTTAGCTCATCACAAGAAGCTAGCACAAATCTTTCGACAACTATCTGCCGATTTATACCTTGTAGATCATTGCATATTCTGACAGGGTCGTCTTTCTTCAGAACATTCACCATCGGATTCACCTACTCGGAGCCATCAATTGGCTCGATTAGATCGTTCGCTAACATATTCTGCAAAGCTACTGAGACAGCTTGACGTTCCGCAAGTGGAATCGGTCCAAGTTGACTAATGGAAACAGGTTTCGCAGCCTGTTTCACTTGAATGCAATAAACACCACATGATATACGTCCGATAGAAGGTGGAAAAAACTTCGGTTAGCTCGCTTGCCAGTATGTTATTCCAATGGAAGAAACAGTCATACGAGCAAAAGATGGCGCTACTTTTAACGCAACCATTGCGTTCCTCCCAAGCAGAGGCTGTTTGTTATCTGATGAAACATATATCACAACATCCGCGAATAACAGGCCGATCCGGGGAGGTACGATGAGGGAACCGAGAATGGTTGAATTATTGCCGCTGTAACTACAGTGTGAATGAGCAGTAGGCTGCATGGGGTACTCGGATATGTAACGTTTCCCGAAACTGGAGAACACAATGGAAACGCAAAACGGAGTCCAATTCCTAGTGGAATATCACTTTGTTCGTATCATCATCATCATTATACATGTCAGCTGGAGGGGGGGGGAAACACCTCCGCTATTGTACCACAATACATAAAGGAAATATATACATAAATACAACACATAAAGGAAAAATAAATACGACAGTTGCATGCCAGCTGAGCTACCAGCAACGGATAGGCATCCTTCCGGTAGGCTACCAGCCAGCTATTAGGTAAAAAAAGAAAAGCAAAATTATGTTTTACGCTAAGAAATGAGATCGTGGGTGGAGGGGGAGGCTAAGCGGGATGGGGAGGGACAAAGAAACTCACAGCACGAACGCCACTGAGGTCGGCTCCTTACCATGTCAGCAAGTGTATCCAGCCAAACGTGTTCACCGTCTTTTGGACCCCAACCAGGGAGCCGTGAAGCTCCAACCGAGGCTAGCTCCGAAGTGAGGGACTTCATTCCTCTGGACCAAGTCATCGC